CCGTTTTTTTTGTTTTTTTTTTTTTTTCTTAATCTATACGCTTGTTGTTCAAACATATCAGTAGAATACCTCCAAATCGCAATCAATGTAAACGTCCTTACTACCCTCTTTGGGGATTTGAATGAAAACATATTAATTAATTAATTTATTTATTTTTTAATTGATAATGAATCAATTATTTATTTTCAAATGTCGGTTGCATGTGTTTAAATGATAACTAGAACAGAAAAACTGTAATATTTTTTTTCCTCATTATATTTAAAAAATAATTTAAATCGTGTTCCCGGAATTATGAAAGTTGGTACACCCGTACATAGCTAACTGACCTGAATATTTTTCAAATTAAAAAAACTTTGGTTAGTACTTATTTTTTTATTCAAATACTGCATTTCTTTTTGACATCCTTAAAACACAAAGTTTACAAACATCAACAGAGTTTTCGGAACCTATTACGTTTACGCAAACCCCCTTGAAGATTTAAATGTCAACATGTGTTTTTATATATAAAAAAAGAACTCTTTAATTAGTTATTTATTCGGATTCAAAAGGAAACAAAATAATTTGAACAGCTTACATGCAATAACAGCTCCTTTTATCTAAATTTCAACCTTAGAACGCCTTCTCTAACATTCAAGAAATAGAAAGTAATCATTATTGCAAATAGCCTGTCGTTGACAATTATACAGGTGCAATGCAATTTTTAATTGGCTATAACCACCTTTGATGAAGTTGAAGAAAAGAACGGTATCAATCTGATGTCAAGATTCTACATTTTAATGCATTGTATTCAAGTGGGTTTTTTTCAGATTTATTAAAAGTATCATCACATTTACAAAATCAAAGCCTGATCAAGCACTAGTGTAAAAGACACTTTAAATAAGTACCTTTGAGATAGGTGTGGTCGTTGCTACGTTTTATGGTCGGGGTTCTCAATATTAATGTACAAAGATCAACTGACTTTTTGCACATAGTTCAAGATAACGACGATAATAATAATGGCTGTTAAATTGATTGATTGTCTGATTGATTGATTGATTGATTGATTGGTGTTTAATGCCACTCTCAACACTAGTGTGCTATTTCGTGGCGGTCAGTTTTTATTGGCGGAGAAAGCCGGAGTGCCCGGAGAGAACAACCGACCTTCGGTAGGAAAACTGACAACTCTAGTCAATTAAGATTGGAGTCGAGTGCACCTGCCCCGTGCGGGATTCGAACTCACCTGAGTGTTGACAGGCTAGTGATACAGTAGTTCGACTGCTTAGACCACTCGGCTGTTAAACGACCAGCGTCAAAATAAATGCATATTCAGGACGAGAACATGCGAATGCGGTATGAATGACCAGACCGACGCCCTAAGCCGAATTTTCAATGTGCTAGTTCACTAGGTAGACGGACTCAGTCACAGTATTCTGACTCCGAGCCGACCAGTATATGCTCATACTCTTTAATGCCGCGTGTTTAAAGGAAAGCAATCTTCCATATCGAGTCCAGCATGCTACAACGAGTCCTCCGAAGCGATTGAAATAGCTACGAAGAAAGGAATCACATGTTGTTAAGTATGTAAAGTTTCGAAATTCTTATTTTATTTTTCTTATTTTAATTGGTGCTAGATAAGGAGATGTTGAATTTTAATTTGAAGCAGGAGGCCATCTATGAATCCTTCTGTTGCAAGGGTTCTTAAACGTGGTGACTGTGTAGCACAAGGAGTTCGACGCTCAATTCCAACCAGACGGGTTGTGTATTGATACACCCCTTTTTCATAGTCATCAGTCGGATAAAATTTCAAGTTTTAAACTCATGTTATTTACGATGTCTTCTCTCATTGTAATACTGTAGTATACTGTATTATAGACTAAGAACGAACAATTTTTCTGAGCTTCTTGGTCTGATCATATCAAATATAATACCAAAGATTGTAAAGGGTAATAAAAGTAGAAAGTTTTTTTACAGTTGCAGGAGGAAAGAGAATTAGATTGTATGTACTCTTACAGATCTTTGGAATTTCCTTTGTATCCACACCTGATTCAAGCCGCCCCTAGAATAGGTAGTTTCCCAATAACTTTGAAGCCCGTCTTTGATTGCTGATAAAATTTATTTTAATTGTTTAGAAAGAGGCTTCCTGGAGCAACAGGAATACTTAGAAATTTAACGTTGTCTGTAAGGATACTTATGTAATAAAGGTATCCAATATAAGGGACTTTGTTTTTTTTTAATCTCTATATTATATGAATATATCAGATAAATATAAACACGCCAACAATCAGAGAGTATAGTCGGTTGATAACAGACAAAGTTCTAGTAAACTACACTTTGGGTTTAGTTTAGTTTAAATATATTTTATTTGCTTAAATATGTTTTTTGTGTTTCTTTGGTCTACGCTATAAAAGTATTATTTTGTTAAACCTGACAACATGTGTCTATAAATTAGACAAAGAGTATGTGTTGGGATATGGAAGGTTGCTAGTTTATATGTGACTGGCCTTGGTGACCGAGTGGTCTTCGTAGTTCATCTACAAGTATTTCTAGCCTGTCAACACTGATGTTTTAAGTTCGCACCTCTCGTATCAGGCATATTCGTGTACCCATCCGGCTCCTCCATTAATTAAAACAGACCGCCACGATATTTCCAGGAGTGTTGCAAGTTGCGTTTAATTGCAACAATTAATCAACCAATCATGTGTATGCGTGCGAAAGCAAAAGTGAATGCGTGTCTTTGGAGTCAAAAACTCTCATTAGAATCAATCTTATTAAACGGATCTGTATTTTAATTCGATATTCATGAGAATATAATGTGTACGTAACAATTATTTTCAATACTCCTTTATTGACAGGTTTAATATAGTAACCCATGTATTCATATCCACATTTGTAGTTTGTTTCGTTCCTCGTTCTTTCTATCCATATCGATTGTATCTACTGTATCTATTGTATGTATTATCCCTCCATGCAGACAGTTCTCTCTCGCCAAGTTGTGGAAGATAACTGCATCTTTGACGATATGTGCTAAAATAACCAAATTAAATGTCAAAAGAGAGACGAATAATACCAAAGCGTCGTTCAAACTCATAAGTCCAAAATAAATAAACAACGCCATGGCACAAAAATGAAAAGACCAAAAAAGACAAATAACAATATTCAAAACATACCTTTTGTATACCCATTAAAACGATCACATAGGCAACTAGTCCAAATAATTATGACTTCTTGAAAGGCTATTTTAATTTTTAACGTCATAATTATTTGGACTAATAGGCGATGCAGTTCTTGATTTGTCATTTGTCATTTGTGTATCTATCAAACTGTATTATTGGTAGAGAACCTTTAAAACCACAGACTAGAAATATCCTTAATGTAGAATGTATTAGAACATAATCTATCTTTTGTATGATACATATCATGTTTCAATGTCTTTCTTTTACATTTTTCTTTTCTATGTTTTACCATTACTGTCTAATGTTTTTATGCGTTTATATTAATAATAATTAATAGTATTTATACATCCTTTGCTTTAATTTTTTGTGGTTATTGATTGCTTATGAAGGTAAATAAAAAAAAAGAACTTCGGACGCACAAAATTTATAAAGAGTTATTTTCATTTTAAAATCTTTTAAACCTTATTGAAATGAGCATCTATTGCAGTCAAATTGATTCCGTCTATGTTATAATTACCAAACCCTAGATTCCTATTAAGCAGTTCATGTTATGAAATATACTATCTAAGAAGAACACGGCTTGCCGTACACATTTATTGCGGATACAGTAAGACTATAAAGTAGAAATGTAGAATATGCTTAGTTATCCAATCAAACTTTCTTTTCCTCTCCCTTTTTGTTTTCTTTTCCTCTCCCTTTTTGCTTTCTTTTCCTCTCCCTTTTTGCCCAAGTTTGATAAAATCAAATGTAACTTCCAATCAAATGCACTTCACCAAAGACTTATTTGATTGTTTTCTAGTTAAATATCTTCAAATAGCTAATGCGAGACCGTATGACCAAGATGAATATGACGATGAAAAGAGACGTAACTACGGAATATCAGAATTTAATGCTGCAATGACTGCAATTTCATGTATAACCGACGACTAAAACGTGAAAATGAATAGATAGAATACAAACACGCAAACTATGTTGCTGAAATTGTACTGTCGTCGCGTTTCGTATGGTCCAAGGAAATTTTACAATACTACGAAAGGATGATACGCAACAATGTTTCTGTCGAAGATCTTGTTCTTTCAAACAACTCTTACTGTTTAGAGAATATATATTCTGTAGAACCAACGTTTACACTACCAATTCAAGACAAGGCTTTTCCACAACCATTTAGGAAAACTTTAGGTCATAAAAAAGATAGGTCGATGGAGAGTTGTCTCATTGGCACTCATACCACATCCTCTTATATCCAGTTATGAATAATAGCACATATTGTACTTTTTTATATGCCTTTTACTCAGAAAATATTCCCAGAACATTATACATTTATTTCCCATGCCTGAGGGAGATATGAAGATTTGTTCACCCAAGAATATTCATATTTCACGAGGGCTCTGCCCGAGGGAAATATGATTTTTCGAGGGTGAGCAAATCTTCATATCTCCCGAGGCAAAGGGAAATGAATGTTTTATTTCACTGCCTATGCTTTGTTTACTATCAATACATTAAAAATTATTTTGCATACACTTTGTTTTCTTATCCGCTTGTTTTTATAAGTTAAACTAAACACGACATACCCATTGATAAACAGTACGGAGCAAAATTTAATTATAAGTCTTTTTGTTTTATCGTCTGAAATAAATTTGAACATGATAATGATTTTTGCTATCGCTATTTTAAAAAGAATAAGAATTTCAAAATGTTATGTACATTAGCCGCGCGATACGTCGCACGATGTAATCCCGACATTTCAGAGGGGAATATGATCCTCAGAATGGAATATGAAGATTTGTTCAATGACACGTGGGATTGTCTCAACCAATCAAATATTGATTAAACTATCAATAGGTATAATCAATGGAATAATACTATTAATAACATTTCAGATAATACTTAACTTATGGAATCATTTGAACTCGCGTATTCTTGCTCTTCATTTGTTGTAATCGGTACTAAAATACTTACTGTTGCTTACAGCTGAAATTAAGATTTCAATAATTAATATAAACTGCAATCATTAACTGAAATATTGCAATGGTGTATTACAGCTTACAAGTTTACATTAATCTAAGTTCAAAATGTATAGAATGAAGCACGAATTTAACATTCGTTTACTTTCCCTGTTCTGGTATTTCAAGATATAAATTCGTTGAAATGGACTATAAATTGGAATGTGCTTGTATTTACGTCAGCCGTGAACCAGCTTAAATGATAAAATGACAATTAACCGCATTATTTCTAATATTTCTAACCAAATGTTATCTAGAGATTTCTCGAATTACCAGACACGTATAAAATCAAAGACATTGGTACGCTCAACTTTCACAGTACTTAACCTTCTCCCTCAACATGAATAGTTCATTCGCAATAGACACTTAAAAATGAAAGATCCAAAATGTTACCTCATAGATTTTGCAAACTCCTTTCCCTTTATTAGCGACTTAACAATACAATACCGGATTTAAAGTATCATGAGAAACACGGAACTTAAAGAGAGAATAAGATATCTAATGAACCAAAAACCGACCGACTTCTTTGGGGAAAACATCAAGTTAACTTAAATCTGTTACTATAAAAAATGTCAAGTGTATTTGAAATTTGCGCTTCAATAAGCTTTATTTTAAAGAATAAATATAAATGGGGAATGTGTCCATGGGACACAGATGATGCCCCCGCTTGCATATAACGTTATAAAGGGACATAACTCTCAAGAGCTGTAAAAGTGACGCTACCCAAATTTGTACTTTATCTGAGTTGCGGGTAGTAAGCATTATTTATAAGTTTCATAACATTTGAGGCAAACTTAAGTTAGAGAATGGAAACGAAAAATTCAGCAATTTTTCCATTTGTAAACGGGCATAACTCTAGAACGGTATAAGTGACTCCACCAAAATTCGAAATTGGTCTGTGTTTTGTGGTATTTAGCATTGTGTGTAAGTTTCATAACATTTGGTTGAGGCAAACTAAAGTTAGAGAACGGAAACGAATTTTGGGACGTACGTACGTACAGACAGACAAGGGTAAAACTAAATGCCCCCTCCGCGACTGCGGGGGCATAATAAAATGAATTGTGCATTTTATATTGAGACTACATACTACATACAGTAGTCAGCACTTCTGTGTTGACATGAATTATTATTGATATGGTCATAAATTAACTGTTTACAAAACTTTGAATTTTCAGAGTACTAAGGATTTTCTACCCCAGGAATAGACTACTTTGGCTATATTTAGCAAAATCATACGGAATTTTGTGTCCTCAATGCTCTTTAACTTCGTACTATAGTTGACTTTTTTTTAAACTTTTTTTTTTATTCGAGTGTCACTGATGAGTCTTTTGTTGACGAAACGCGCGTCTGGCGTACGCAATTTAAATCCTGGTATCTAGGATGAGTTTATGTATTATACCCAATATATAAGTGTTAATTGATTCGTGTATAGAGTATATGTTATGTGTTGTTGTAACTTACGTAGAAGATCTAGCAGACGTAAAGGCATCTGCCTGAATTTCGGAAAAGTTAAAATTTCGGCAATACAGTGATGACATAGTCTGCTTCTTGATTACACTTAGTTGTGCTGAAATAACAAATAACACTGAGCAATTTTCCTCTTCTTTTCGTTTGGCGTGGCAATATTTGCTTCGAAAAATAAGTATGTTAACAACTGAAATGACTAGAAAATTACTTTTCCAGAATTCTTTTGAATTATTTATAGTTATTGCATTTTCTTAGGTCACACCACAGGTATTTGTCTCTGAAAAAACCTATTGTGCGAGAAAATTCAAAGACAAGTGCCTGTGGGTCGCGCCTCTGTCAAAACAATTAGTGCACACATAAAGCTAACTATTGCTTATTGTTGAAGGCCGTACGGTTACCTTAAATTGCTTACACCCTAGTCATTTGAACTCTGGTGTATAGTTGTCTTATTGGCAATTATACCACATCTGCTTATTATTATATTCTAACATCCGAACAAATGTTCATGACCTTGATTTAAGCAATTGAATAAATACACCATAGTATTGTACGCTCTAAGAAACCATAACAGGTTTAATGTGACATGCGCGGTTTAATCGTACTATGTAATAGTATGTGTTTGACTCCTCATTACTCATAGTCAGTCCCGTAGGTTAAAATATTTTCGATTACGTAGGGTTAAATCCTTCAAAATAGCAAAATTGTTTTTGTGGAGGGGAAATGTATCCATCAAACCAACAAATGTTGAACAGTTCGGTTTTATTTATCTCTTTTTTTAAGTTTAGGTCGACAGACGACGGAAAAGAAGTACATTGAATAGCACAAACTGGTATGTGGGACCGATGGCCTATAAACAAAATGAACTTAAAATGGCCATAATAGGATAACCCAAAGGTCATGAATGTCAAATGAAATGTATTAAGGTGGTACCAAACACCTTGACTAAAATTAATTTGGCTCGTTTAATTTTCATAAAGGTTTCACAAAATATTTACTTTGAACCTTTGACAAAAATATAAAAATTTCAAAAAACTTCAACCACACACTTTATCGGAAAAATTTCATTGGATATATAGCAGTTTGAAAGACACTAATTTTGATCATTGAGAATCTTGATATTTCCTTAACAATAGAACGTGATTAAAACGTTAAGCTGATTTTTACAGAGTTATCTACCTGTAGTGATATGTACCACCTTAATGTCTTACCACTAGTAAATCCCGTTTTCGAGAATGCATTTTCATAGAAAAATCTGTCCCCATTTCTGTAATATTCAAACTGCAAGGCAATGAGACATCCAAAAGTAGGTCCTACGAGTCCGCCTTGTACAGGAGTTTCTGATAATCCGCCAGAAAATAAATCTATGTCGTCAGGATGCCTGTTAGAAAGACGATATTTCAATTTTAATGCATTTTCAGGAGGACGGAATCAACAACTCCTTATTTTCTTACAACAATTTTTCCACTGCATTTATGTTACAAAATGAAGGCAAAACCGGTAAAATTAACAAAAAATAAAGGAAACAAATATCTGCAGCTTCCACGTTCTTCCTAAAATTAATAGTCGTAAAGATAAAATAATTATCATACACATTGATATATTTCTCTCTTCCCTCTTCATTATGCAATGTACTACTACTTATTCGTCAACGTAACCTTTTTTTCCCTTAAATCTTTGCTTGAATTAGTACAAATATTTGTGACTATGACAAATACGTGTACTGTCTTAATAAAATTGAGAATGGAAATGGGGAATATGTCAAAGAGACAACAACCCGACCAAAGAGCAGAAAACAGCCGAAGGCCACCAATGGGTCTTCAACGCAGCGAGAAAATATCGCACCCAGAGGTGGTCCTCAGTTGGCCATAAATAGAATTGTGTACTTGTTCAGTTAAAATTGGCGTCACACTAAACTCCAAAACATATAAAGGAACTAAAATTAAAAAAAACATACAAGACTAACAAAGGCCAGAGGCTCCTGACTTGGGACAGGCGCAAAAATGCGGCGGGGTTAAACACGTTTTGTGAGATCTCAACCCTCCCCCTATACCTCTAGCCAATGTAGAATAAAGCTTGTATTCTGAAGGCACACTTTAAAATACTAGCATACGTTCAGCAAGTAAAACATTTACATTGGAATTATTCTTATGACGTCCCGCTCTTGTTTAAAAAATATTTCATTACGCATCTATACGCCAATTTCATCAAACTATTTTCGCAAAGTTTAAAAATGCTGCATTTGCACACATTTATTTTGATTGTACTGTCACAAATATGTGTTTGTCTAGCTCCCTGGTTCGCTATTCAAACACAATTTTTGACACAGATGGATTTTATTCAAATCTATAATGATTCAAATACCATACCTATACATTCTTTGCAGAGCACCGGCTGATTCATAGCTCATGTCACGCAGTCCAATCGCATTATATCCAAATGTAAGTGCGGGTTGAAGTCCACAAAACTTTCGAAATTTGTTGTAGGAAGGCAAGCCATGATCTCGACCTCTCTGTATGTTTAGTGCACTAAAATCAAATACATGTATAAACAGTCAAATGAATCAAATTGTTTTTACCAAAAATCAAAGTAATGCAATGTATTCCCTAAAACATATTATCAGACGGAAAATTCAAATATTCGACAAAAGAAAACAAGTACACATGTAACAGTAAATTCAATCCCGTAGTAAAATTTGTCTGCCAGATTTTTCTTCCTAGGTTATCAAGTCCGTGACCATAATTTTACTAGGAATGTAAGTCCCTGAATAAATTTTCCTAGGAAAATAAGTCCATAGCTAGTGAAATATGTCTGGCATTTATTTCTCTAGGAAAAGTTTTATATATACGTATTCTCATATTTTTTTTCTATGAAAAAGGTCCCTTTAAAATTTTATTTCTCATTATTCTTTAAAATTAATCAATATTAAAATTAAGAAAGGAACATTTGTAATTATGTACATTATAAAAGTCAGTGATATCGATTTTCCTAGGAAAAAAGTTCGTTCAATTATTAAAAAAACACCCATATTTTAATAAAATAGTGAAATATTAATGGACAACTGTTAAACGTTTTTTAAAAAACATACAAGAATTGAAAATTCCATTGTTTACTTTAATACATATAAATTATTTTTTTCAGTACAAAATTTTGCATAAAAATAAAGGACATGGACGTTTTTACCTGGGAATATTAACGCCCTGGACATGAATTCCTAGGAAAATTAGTCTGAGCACATACATTTTTTTTTAAAGATTAAAGCACAACTGTAAAATAACATTATACCATAAGAATTAAAAATTCCATTGTTTACATGTAAATGATTTCTTTTATTGAACATTTTCCTAGTCAAATAAAGGACATGGACATTTTTACCTAGGAATATTGATGAAATGGAAATAAATTCCTAGGAAAATTAATTAAATTAATTGTCCGCCCGGACACTTTTTACCAGGACTAATTTATCTCTTACACACACATGCAGTAGGATATCATCTCAATGCTTTAACTATTTTGTCATCTTTACTTTATTGCATTCATTTGTTGGATTTGTTTTATTTGTCATTTACAAATTGTAAAATCAGATTTCCGTTTCATTAATCATTCTTTATTAGGTTTTCGATTATGAACATCTTTAATTATTTTTCTGTACTTTTTTAACATTAAAAAGAACGAAATTCAATACAACTATGATACCAACTTTATAATTTAGTACTTTCGTCTATCAAAAATGAAAATGAATATATAAGCTATTACCTTAAATCGAATCCATTGCCAGGTTTTGTCTCGAAAAGATGGTTTCTAACGGCTGACGCTACAAAAGGATCTGATTGGCCGGAAAATTTTTCTACCATCCAATTTGAAATTTTTTCGACACTAAATGTTTTTGTAGAACGTATTGTTCTTGGGTTGAAAAACTCGCCTTCTAATGGTACTTCTTCGTTAATGTTATAGTAAGCATCAAGAGTTCCCACAAATTTTCCAACAAATGTGTGTCCTATTCGAAAAGCGGCACCTGCAAATCCATTACGCGTTCCTGCGTTTTCATTTTGGTTGTAATGTGTCTTATGTCCGTACGATATTGGGAGAAGATCTTGATCACGTGCTAATGTTGTTCCTAATAGTTTTGGTATAAACTCCTTGTATATGATATGTTGGTATACTCCAATTAGAATTTTTCTTGCTTCGTTGTATAATCTTAATCCGTCGTGATGTGGATTTATCTTCTTTAGTATACCCACAATTCTATTGTGTTCCCGTAAGAAGAGAGTGTGAATAGCATTCAACATTGGAACTTCTGTATGTCTTATATCTCCTGAGGAAAAGATGAGCATGATTGTATAGTTTTTCTCAGTAAAGGCATTATTTTACTGCTAGATTTGAAATAAAGAAAATATACGCAATGAGCAATTAAAGAGAGTTGTTTAAATTTTTAAATGGCAACTTAGATATAAAGTTGACAAAAATGATTCTTTTTCATTATTTTATTTCATTGTCTTTATTGTACGGAAGCTAATTTAGGACCTCCCAAAAATATAATTTGAATTCGATATCACGAATTAATGGAATTAGTTATAAAATTTTATGTAATTCGTAATAACGGATTAAATTCGTTATCACAATTTTTTTGTAATTCGTGTTAACGGATTAAAAACGTGGTAACGAATTGTATTATTCGTTATCACGAATAAAATCCGTTTTCACGAATGTGTGTAACTTGTTATCACAGTTTTTTTTTGTCATTCGTGATTACTGATTAGATTCGTTATCACATATTTTTGTAATTCGTGATAACGGTTTAAAATCGTTATAACGTATTAAATTCGTTATCACGAATTCGTAGAAATAGTTATCACTTTTGTTTTGTAATTCGTGATAACGAATTTAAGCCGTTATAACAAGTTATAAAAATCATTATAACGTTTTTAATCCGTTATCACGAATTACAAAAAAAAGTGATAACTATTTCTACGAATTCGTGATAACCAATTCAATACGTTATAACGATTTATACAATTCGTTATCACGATTTTAATCCATTATCACGAATTACTAAAAATTGTGATAACTTATTTAATTCGTAATTACGAATAAAAAAAAAACTGTTATAACTAATTCCGGAAATTCGTTATCACGAATTTAATCTGTTATAACGAATTCTTCAATTTGCGATAATGATTTAAATTCGTGATTTCGAATTCAAATATATATTTTTGGGAGGTCCTTAATGGGCTTCCGTATTATTGGTATCATTCTACCATTCTATATAAAAGTAAAGAAATAAGGTGATGACACTTTCATTTTAACAATCATGTACCTGATTTGAAGCACAGCGCCCCTTTTATGCAGTCCCCTTCGCCATCTGGTAACAGACCACCAGCACCCTCGAACAATTTTCCTGTATAACATAGAATTGAGTAGAATTTAACTGTGGTCAACAAGCTACATAATATTTATCTCTTTTTCTCCTAATGTTTCCTGTTAGTGATTTTTAGTACCTCCACGCACGGTTGATTGGTTATAATCCTATTGAGTTGTCAAAGCGTATAACGTGTCCAATTTTTTAGTATCGAGCGCTTCCACCCTTCATACAAACTGTGCATCGGTCAACGCTTTAATTTTACACCAAAAAAAAAAAAAAGCAAACAAAAAGAAGCATTTAATTATTAAATCAGTACATATATACAAAAGACAGTCATCATTGAAAATAAACGAAAGCGCAAGAATATTAAAAAAAGTAAGATGTTGGAATTGTCTAGTAGTAAGCATCGAATCTATGAACATGAAAAATCTCGAGTAATGCCAGATTGACAAAGTACATTCTGTTGGCATGACAAAATCAGCATGGACTTTTTTCTTTGTAAGATTACCTGTTTTCCAGTCAACGAGCTCATCTGCCATTTTCTTGGAACTGCCGTACGTGCTTGATAGATCAAGATAAGAAGTTACTTGGTTCATTTGGTCACTGTAACCTATAAAATATTGTCTGTATTATGACATAAAATGGCATTTTTCTAAACCTGCTTGTTTGAATATCCAAAAGTAATTGGATACTCGAACAATAACTGATAATGTGATTCATTAAAATAAATAGTTAACACAGAGCCAGTTTGTAATTCTGATAGCAAAATATTGAAAATCAATGTACTATGACTGAAGGTACAGGACAAACAAATCTATGTGGAAATAAGATATCCCAAAGCTTATACAACTGCATACAAAATTATATTGACTTAGCATAAGTGGTTCCCTATCAAACTGATCAAATCACAAACTTAAACATGTAAACTAGCAAAAGTTCCCAAGTCAATGAACCATGACTGAGGGGATGGGGAATTATAAACTCAATGAAACTGAGATATGCTAAAGGTGAAACAACTGCATACCAAATAGCATGGACTTACCATAGATGGTTCATATTAAACTTACCTAATCACAAACTTAAACGTGTACATTATGCAAAAGTTTATAAGTCAAAAGACCACGAATGAGGGAGCAGGGCCAAACAATCTCTGTAAAAATGATATGTGCCAATGCTTATACAACTGAATACCAAATAGCATTGACTTAATTGAAGTGGTTCCCCTTAAACTGACGTAATCTCAAACTTTAACATTTAACTAAGCAACTCTTTTACAGCTCTTCTATAAAAGCATGCAAAGCAAACCTTTGATCAACTTGCTTGCTATGTTTGTTTGGATGTTTGTAAACAAAAGGTAGGCAGTCTGTTTCAGTCTGTTTACTATATACTGGAATTTGATTGGACAATAAACATAACTTCATTGCATGTCAATTTTTATTGTCTAATCAAATTCCAGTATTATATACAAAACAGACTGAAACTCCGCCTACCTATTGTTTGCAAACATCCAAGCAAACTAAGCCCTGTATGCACGTTTTTTTTTATATCTATTACGAATCCATAACGTTTTATCGACAAATAGTATTTCATGCAGTGATTGTTGATCGCAAGCTAATTAACTTTCGAGTTTGTTGTCGAGGTTTACCGGATCGTGACATTGATAAACAATGATCAACACAGAGCAAGTGAAACACGTAGCTAATAAGTGAATTGATAGAGCTTGATATTTTTGTTATATTTTCTATGCGTTCCCATTTGTTAATTAAACTTTTCCTTAACAGTTGTTAAATGATTTGGTGTGTTTAATTTGTTCTTTTAGAATCAGTTATTACTATTTACCTTCCAGTACACGTTTGTTTACATTCATTCATCACGGTTTTCCCCTCGCACTTGCGCTGTGCGTTGGCCGAAGTTCTAACGAGAGGTCTCGTAGTTAAGGTCACTGCATACGGGAAAAGATCGGCGAATTAGTGTACGGGAAGACAATAATTCAATAGCAGTACATTTATGAAGATTTTGATTATATAAAGGATTTTCTTTTACAAGAAAGTTCACGTACACTTGTTTTATAGTAAAACTTAGCCATTCAAGTATATAAAACACACATTCATTTTTTATTTATTTAAAGTTTCATATGACTTTAAACTGACCGAATCACAAATTTTAACATTTTAACTTAATATTATACAGTCTTCAGATTTCTATGTTGTGTTTTTTGGTCGTTTTTTCCTTTTGTCATGGGTTGTCAGTTTGGTTATCCCTGTGGAATATTTCGCCTCACTTTTACCGTAACAAGCATTAATCATTACAGTTCGAACAATTTACTCAATACGTATAAACGGTAACTGAATGCTATTATATAACTTTTATTTTTTTAAATTATATATAAGTAATTTTTAAAAAAAGTCGCCTCGTGGTAATTCTCATACCTGGAGAGCAGTCAGATCGAGGTGCTGTTTCTGATCTTACGAAATGCATACACGTGGTCTGAAATTCACCTACAGGAGTGCTAAACGATAGACATTCAGGTCTGAAATCGAAAGGGAAAAAAAACCTGACGACATAAATAACAACCGGTTTATTTACAGATTATAATGCAGTTTTCAGCCATCGATGGTATCTACACAATATGTCAAGCTCTAAATCGCCTTTTGTCTAAAATACGTTGTGGATAAATTAAATAAATACTCTAAAAATCTGTCAATCACCCATTATACCATCAATTTTTTTTATTAAAGTATCGAACATTCATTCTGTGATAATTAAGAATTTGAATTTTCATGGTAACTTGTCTATAGGTGCAAGTTACCATCGTTCCGTCAAAGAAAATTTTAGGTAGAAGTTACTAGTACATTAGAGTGTAGTCTGTAAATTTTACCTTTTTTTCAATTCAAAAATAAAATTTAAAGCTTAGATGCAGAATCAGTTTTTGTTTTTTTTTATTGTTTGTAAAAAACACATAAAGAACTCTACCTGTTAACAGGAGTATTTCCATTACAACATTGCAATTTTGCCTCTCCTGAAATAAGATATAGTTTAAAAAGATTTTTCAAGTATGTTAAACAGTAAAAATGGCAGATCATGAATTGTTAGTTGTTTAGGATTGGTTTTTCCTCTATCTGCCACAATTTTCGAGATATAAGCTAAAACATGATGTAACCTCTATGTGCTATTTAAGTCATAATAGCGATTTTTGCTTAACTTAAAAACGCGACACTTACTAGACACCATGCGGATGACTAAAGTCAAGTTTGGTCTAGACTGGCCAGAATGTTTGTCCAGATTGTTCAGGTGATTTCAGATGGGAAGATTTTTTCAAAAGTTTACGATGACAAACGACGACGACGGACGCCAAATTAGAGCGATAGCTGACATTAACATTCGGTGTAAGGAAAACTAAAAACCATGTATTTTGTGTGTTACATAGTTGAATTCAGGGAACATCTTTCACAATTTGTAATCAACAAAATATTTGTTGCAAAGGTAAGTATAATATAAATTTGTTTATGGTCTTAGTCGATGGTATAATTCTAGTAGGTTTAAATGTTTGACTTTGCAGAAGTATTGTTTTCATGTAATTGCTATTTGTCCCAAATCCATTGCATAGAGCCATTCAATCCAGATCAAATATATATTGGATCCAATTGAATTCCATATAAGTGAAATACGGCGTCAATAAAAGTTCTCACACAGCTCTAGTGTCTAGCATTGATACGGTTACTCCAAGTCATTACTATAAATATATCTTACCTTTCTTTGATTTTTTTATTGGTGTAGAAACCACATCATGGTCTATGAATTGTCCAAAGTGAGTAAAAGCAACATTGGACAAACAGCCTCTTGCAAAAGTTGTGCCTTCTTTGTGTACAGTGTTACTTATATCACGTGGATTTGGTAAACTACCATAGCGAACACTGTTCTTTCTTGGCTCACTACCACTATTGTATCCTACAAAATGTAAGCGTGTTAGTCTTAAGAAAAATAAAGTGACTTTAAGTAATTCCTTTGATATAAAGCTAAAAAGAAGTAGAAAAAGGTTTGAAATTCCAACGGGTACAATTACTTTGCTTTAAGTTTTGGCATTCGTGCGTTGGCATATGTCATATTGTTTTGTCTCTTGTGTTTTGTGGAGGTCGAAAACATATTACTCATGTTTTTGAAGGTGTTTACTCTAATATTTTTCTGTTTTAATTTACTTATTTTCTAGATAACTAATTATTTGCCGTGTTCATGAAATATCTACCAAATATGTTAATTTGTCCCGTAGTTGTCAAAATGTATGTATTGTTTCATTTTTATCAGTAAGATTGTCGGTCAAATTTTTATATATATAAACTCATAAGATCTTTGTTCGTTTTAATCTGTAATTTTTGTTGATATTATCTCATACTAGTATCTGTGTCTACAATGTACATTTTTATCTAGTAAAGAATTCTGCTCAAGTCGATGCTAGCGTCCTTCCTAAAGTAGTGTGATGTGATATTTTGCTCATTTTCGAAGGTCTCGCGGTGTCTTTGAGATGCAACGCCATATAAGCACTGTTATTTTGCTTTAAGTTTTTGTCAAGCATCTCTTACTGAACAAAATTGATTCGAAGATATAAATTCAATGCTTAACGTTAAAAAAAGATATGAGTATAATCTGCCTTCAGCATTTCGTTTGATTCTTTAAAACATTGAATGATTATAAAGCTATAATGGAGTTGTGTATACATTGTAATACATTACTTACTGTCTCCATATGTTGCTGATATGAATCTGGGTTGAGCAGTTAATGCAGATCCCCAGAGTGGATTCCCAAGATTATTACATTTTCCGTCGTAAGATCTGTATTTTTCATAAGGATCACAAGTTACATTTTTAGCGGCACAAAATGGCGCTACAATTTGTGAAAACCTACTGCTCGTTGTCGATTCTGGTGTCAGTGTGTCCATACCACTACCTGTCCTATAATGTTATACAAAGATATCTTAAATGTAAAATTTCTATGAAAATTTATACCAATATTTTGTAAATTGTACAGGTTGAATTGGTTTGGTTAAAGGTATGTGTCCTACAACTGACAATCAGTGAAGAAATTGTATATTTTCTCTAAAAAAAAACTATAACTTTATCTCTTATGTTTTCCGTAAAACTACATACGCGTTTTATTGCTCATTTGTTGAAATGATAAATTTTTAACCAAGGAATTACATTCCCAGATAAACCTTTCCTGGTGTCGTGTGAACGTAATAGGACGCGCCTAAGAATTTGTCTTAGTCTTAGGCCAGGTAAACGAAAAGCCTCCTAAGATTTTAATATGTGTCCTTATATTTGTCCCTAAGTTTAGATAGCTTCATAGGTGTCTTAAAATAGTCATCGAACTTAGGATTGAATAAATCAATTTTTTTTCGATATTCAAATGCATTTCAACAAGTTCTAAATACATTCAAAATTTCATCAAAATCCAAATTATTTCCAAACGTACACTTTGCTTTAATTCGACTACTTTTGGACTGAAATAATAAGAATTTAACCACATCCAATTAATTTGCTTAAGTATATGCATAAAATTTATAAAAGAATTTAATTACATTGATGTAAATTTGTTTTCTTATGTTATAGATAATGAATATTTCAAGTTTTTTTTCTTGTCGTAAAACACACCTCGGGGTTTCTATGGTCGGTCTTTCATTTTATCAATCCTGACACCCCTCCGTATGTTCTGCGACAAGAAAACCCTTGAAATATGCATTATCTTACTTTTATATACCTATACGTATTTGACGGTATATATGAAAAGAAATACTATTTGGTTTAAATTATTTCATGGATTTGAAACATGTTATTTTGACTAAATTAGTAGAACAAGAACTGCTTATTCTTCCAGGGCACCTGATTTAACCCCGTGGTTGGGTTCTGGTCAAACGATCTTTAGTTTTCTGTTTTCTGTTTTGTTATTGTTGTTATATTTTTTGTTGTTTTCTTTTTGACCATGGTTTTGTCTGTTTTATTGGACTTGTGATGGTTCATTGTCCCCTATGTATCTTCCATCTTTATTTACACTAAGCATTTAAAACATTTCGTTTTATAGAGTATAATTAGATTAATGTACATTTTAATTTTCTAGTGAACCAACTAAAACATCACCTATTTAGTATAACAATTTGGTCATATATGTTAATTTCAATGTGTCCGTAATCTGGTACACTTTATGTGTATTAATATGGATTAATCCTTCCTTGTCGTGTAGTTTGTGTCGTTATTCAAATTCATAAGCTGAAACTTGATTATCTTAAATTCATTTTAAGAAATCCTGAAATCACGGAACTGTAGCTCTAACACTCGTGTTTAAAATCCGTTGTATTATCAAAAGGCTGGGGGAAAAAATAGAAAAAAAATAAACATGTCAAAATGATTCCTAAATAATAATGTGCATTAAGATGAAACAAAACCTGCAGTACTTAATTAAGAAAACACAAAGAGCGACAAATAATCCTAAACGAGTCATTAAAGAAAAATACGTTTTGAATCTATACACGATTAGAATTATTCGTATACTCTACTGGTTATCAAACTCCAAACTAGATTAACAGTTGTTATCATTTCTAATGAATTATAAATAGTTTACCGATAACTCAAAAAGAAATATTTAGATTCTTAAAAAACAAAGAATAACAGTATAGAAACTTTTGAAATAAAAGAAAAATGTGTCTGAGGACGCGAATGCCCCCGCTCAAGCTCGCTTTTCAAACAAAATTTGGACGGACAGAAGGATGGGCGGAAGGACGGACGGAGAGACAGAAGGACGGAAGGACGGTCAAGGATAACACTTAATGCCCCTTCGCACTGCGGCGGGGGCATACAATTACAAATTTCAGGTATAAACACATAGTGAAGTTGAATAAAATTGAGAATGGAAATGGGGAATATGTCAAAGAGAAAACAACCCGACCAAAGAGCAATGGTTGTCATTAAGACGTGAAAGACAAAGCTTGACAAAGAACGAGGATGTAAACAACTAACGGTCATCGTACGGCCTTCTACAATGAGCAAAAATCATGTCGTATCTTCCACAATTTTATTTATTCTTTTTATAACATTAAATTTCACATAATCGTTTAAACAAAACAAAAATAGCAAAAATGATACGTACATTTGTATCAAGTTTCTTGTTGCGGTTTCGACTATTTCTGCTGATCTTGATAAGGATGCAATAACTCTAGGGTCTTGTTGATTTTTCTTATATAGCGTTAACATGCTTATTGGGTCATTGACAGCTGAAAATGTAATAGCAGACAGTAAGTTACTTTCAAAACCACAATTTATTAGAATATGAAAGCAATCAGATTTAAAAAAAAAAATAAATAGGATGTAAATTTCATATGATAATGTTATTCTGATTGTTAGAAAGCTTTATAAATTGACCAAATAAAACTCACAATCATTCAACATAGACACATAATAGCAGACCGTATCTTTCAAATTTCAAAAACTCATTAGATTTAGTATAAAATATCATAATAATATTGACGGAAAATGGTAGTACGAAATAAAGCTACCGGATTGTGAACGGACGACAAAAACATAATGTTTCAACAAAAGGCTCCAAGATTATAAAAGAAAAATATTCTTCAGTTGGATCTGGATGAAACCTGATCGTAATCTTACTTAGTGCTTACAAGTTGGCTGCCACTGTTGCTAATGATGTAAATATTGCATAGCTTTGCCAAGTGAGCCTCTTGTTTGTAAAGCCGGTATTAATAATTTCTGCTAATAGAACAAATAAAAGGCAACGTAAAAGTAAAAGAATATTAAGTTTAATTGTCGCAAGTGTAATCTTGATAGTATTAACGTATTCATGTTTAAAAAAGTGCATATACTTTAAACATAATGACTACACAAATCCAGAATATGTACTCACTGACAGAGTCCTGGCCAATCGTACCACTCTTACTTCTGCCAACCATTCTGGCGGCTTTATATACACATGTTCTAATGGATCTTGAATCAACAGTCTGACAACGCGCCCCCTGTCTTTCAAATATGTATATCATGAAACTGAGAAAAAACAGACTTCTCGAGAATTGTTTCATTTTCATATTTATTAAGATCAAACTCAATATGTGTTGGTTTTATATATTGCTTAAGGCATTATACTTGCATCCGGGGTTTTCGGTTCAAAGTTAAAGCTTTCCGTTTTCCAAATTCTTATTATATCTTTTACGTGATAACAGTCATTGACAGATGATAATTTAATCCAAAAGAACTTTAATCATCTAATTTACAAAAAAGAAATTGCTTTCACCAAAATAGTCGTATACGCCATTTGAGAAGCCGGATTAAAAGCAAACACGGATAATAACCTATGTATATGTATGTTTAATGATGCAACATCAAAAATAAACATCAGCCATTTATATATAAGGGCTTGATTCAAAAAAAAAATTAAATAATTTTTAAATCAACGTCCCATTTTTCAGGTAACATAAATGAAGATTAAAGTTTCAATGTAGGTTGTATCCCAAATACTAGACTCGTATAAGAAATTTGAAGAGTACTCCTCGAGAATTGAAGTTAGTTCATGCTCATTTCTCATATATTACTGGATGTCACCTAGATATGACATTGTATAGTGCTGACATGTTCGAGGTGACAAAACGGGCATAATTCAATCTAAGACAAACAGAGGAATTAAGTCCGTATTTTTTACTCAAAACATACAGATTATCCAGTGTATTGAAAAAAACGAGACAAGTCTTATATAGATGCAAAGAAAAATGACTGTGACAACAGATTGGGACACACATATTTTTTTTGATGCAAGAAAGAGCTGTACATATTGGGTTTAACCATTAGTTTATTACTAGAATTTTAAGAACTTATCCCGTTCGATATCCGACTTTCACCTCTAAGTTGTTACGAGCGGTAGCATTTTACCGTTACCTGTATTATTGGCGCAAATGAAATATGGTTTGTGGCGCAAATGAATATTTTTTTAGCGCAAATACAAAGCACCGCCTAAAATAAATTCGAATGCAATTTATTCAATAAACAGTCATAAAGTTATTTTTGATACTTGGTTGCCAAAAGGCTGTATAACATATTTTTTGCTGTTTTGATGCTAAAATTCTTTTAATCATACAACCTGCATTTTGATCTGCAAAAAAAAAAATCTTGTCTCTCCTATTCTTGAAAGTACTTTTGAAATTTATCTCATTTATCAAGTTAGTTTCATCAACTTTTATGTAACAGCAAAAATATGACTAGCTGTAGTGTATTTGTAGAAAATATACTATTTATTGATTTTTCCTTTTATTTTGTCTATTTTAATATTCTTCTTTGACTTAAATAATCACAATCCTGTTATCAACCTAATAACACTTCCTGGCATGCAAAAATAAAAATATCCTATTCTGAACTTTTCATTATTAAAGAACAAATCTGTTGTAACAAACACTAGGACATACATTGAGGTCGTTCTATATATGTTACAAATTGGTAGGAGATGAGTTATTACGAATCTAAAGTATGCATGCGTTTTTGAAAAAAAAATCCTTTTAAAATTAGAAGAAGATGCGGAGACGAGCAGGAAAGGGAAATAGACGTACTTACAGATTTGATTATTCTGATAAGTAATAAAACGGACAGTAATTGTCAACTTTGGTTATTTTTTATGTGAACAAGGCAGATTTAATCAAGCGTTTTATGAACATTAGTAGGAGCAGTATTTATTTGTTTATTTATTTCCTTTTGTTTCTTGCGGCTAGGGAAATAGTTGGTGTACATATTTCTCTAACAGAATGTTCAGGTGTAAAACCAGACGGAAAACTAGTCAAACATCCCAGATGTAACTTATTAACTTAAATGTAATATGGATAGGATTAACATGATTTGGAACTAGTGTTTAAGCGATGGCAATGAACCTTATTCCGTACATGACAGTGCTTTCTAA